TTCCACTCTTGATAAACATTTGAGGGTTATCATGAACAATGCTGCTATGAATACAATTGTACATTACATTTTTGTGCACATGTATTTTTTTATATGTATATGCCAAGGAATGGAGTTACTGGGTCATAGGTATACATATTTCCAACTTCGGTGAATACTGCCAAGAAATTCTCCAAGGTAATTTTAATTTAAAATTTACCTTGGTGACTAATAAGGTAGAGCACTGTTATATAGAGTATTGGATTTTGCATAGTCTTTTTTGGAAACTCTTTATTCAAGAATCATGCCCATTTTTCTTGGGAATTTTCTGTCTTTTTCTTAGAGATATGGAGAGGTTCTTTAAGTATTCTGGATATGACCATTTTATAGATATTTTGTGTTGCTAATATCTTTTCCCACTCTATGCTTTGCCTTTTTATTCTGTAAATGGTATCTTTTGACTATCCAAAGTTCATAACTTTAATGTTGTCCAAATTATAAATCTTTTCTTTTATGGTTTGTGCTTCTTGTGTTCAGTTTTAGAAATCTTTTCCTATGCAAAAATCATAAAGATCCCCTCCTGTGTTACCATCTTTGTTTTATTTTTGACATTTGGATAAACAATTCATCTGGAACCTATTCTTGTGTATGGTGTGAGGCCCAAATCAAGATTAATTTTTTTCCATATAATATGTAATTAACCCAGGACTTTTTGTTGAAAAGACCAGCCTTCTTCACAACACTGCAGTGTTACGTTTCGTAAATCAAATGCCCACATATGTAGGGGGAGGAAGAGGGAGGGAAAGAGGGAGAGGAAGAGAGAGAGAGAGATAGAGGGAGGGAATAAATAAATTTATTTATGCAATGAAATAAATATAAGAATATTTTTCAGGGCTGAAAGGAGAGACGAGTCTTCAAGTTGAAAAGGCCTGCTGTGTTCCAAGCAGCATAAATGAGAAGACCTAGGCCTAGAGGCAAAATGAAATTTTAAATCAAGAATAGTGAGGAGTTCACTAAAAACATTACAGAGGAGGAAAATTGGTCAAATACAAAGGAATGAGAATTTGACTAGCATCAGGCTTCTTACTAGCAATAATAGATACTAGAAAGCAGTAGAGCAAGGCCTTCCAAGTTGTAAGGGAAAATGAGTTTCAACCAAAATCATATATTTAACTAAACAATCAAGCAGGAGGGCCTTGTAAGGACTCAAATGGTTTTCTTTTCATTAACTTTTTAAATGGAAATTACTTGCTAATGTACCACAAGGTTTGCACAAGGTTGCAAAGAAAGAAAGAAAGAAGTATATGCAAGATAGGAAAAAAAAAAGGAAGGAAGGGAAGGAGGAAGGGAGAAAAGAAGGAAGGAAAGAAGGAAGGAAAGAAGGAAGGAATAAGCCCTTCATGTTGCTGGCCATGCAGCAGCTTACAAATACATCAATACAAATTAGTACAGCAAGTTTGTGATCTCAAGAGTGTCTTCAAGGAGCACGGATAGATTCTAGGCAGCAGTAGAATGACTAAAACCTAGAAGATATTAGGCAGACAGTGAAGAGTGCAAATATTGCTGCTTTGACAAGGAAAAAAATGCATTCAGAAATTCTAAGAAAAAATATTCTTCAAGAGTTCATGGTCCAAATTTGAAGCCAATTAGAATATGACATGATTTTGAGAAATTGGTATAAGTAAAAGCAATCCATTTGATCTTGGTGCTAAGAACTGCATCCTTTGTGGGTCACAAGGCTGTGACATTCCCCCTTAGTGAAGGAGATTTAGTTATTGCGGTGAACAGTCCCTATACAATCATAACAACTTAAGCATTATTTATTCATTTTCAACTTATAGTTGAAACAAAGAAGGGTCTATTATGGATAGAGAACAGAAAGTAAATGTGACTGACTTTGAAGACAGAAAACCTGGCAAGTGGAAGGAAGTGAAGGGATGCAGATGCCACTAGATTACAAAGTAAGACATCAAGAGATATTGACCAAGTTCAGTAGAACTAGAAAAAGAGAGCTTTTAGGACATCACTGATAGACTTATATGAAAATAATAGGGGAACTAAAAATGTTGATATAAATATAAAATATGGAAGTGAAGAAGAGTGGTTATGTGAGCTAATACCTCATCTGTCACAGGAAAAAGTCAATACATATATTTTCTGAAACTGTTAATCCAGGAAAGTGCTACAAGGGAATTATTTTAAGAGCCAGAACTAACCATTAAAAGCACTTAAGTAGACATGGTTAAAAATGCTTGCCTCTTGTGATAGGAAATTTTATTTTTGGTCGTGCAAATGTATAACTTTGATCAAAATAGCATATTAAAAGACACATCATGTCAAATTGGATTATTTCCAGAAGCGCAAATATAACTCAGCATTATATTGAATGAAGTCATTACATTAACTGATGAAAAGGGAAAAACAATAATCAACTCAAAAAGTACATAAAAATTCAATAAAATTCAACAACCATTCATGATTTTAAAACTAGGAATTACAGATTTCCTTAATTTGAAAAAGTTAAAGTGGGGAAAAAGACATGACTGGACTTATCATACTCAATATTCAAATACTAAAACTGTTTTCTTTAAAAGCAGGAGTAAGGGCTGGCCCCGTGGCTTAGTGGTTAAGTGCACGCACTCCGCTGCTGGCGGCCTGGGTTCGGATCCTGGGCGCGCATCGATGCACCGCTTCTCCGGCCATGCTGAGGCCACGTCCCACATACAGCAACTAGAAGGATGTGCAGCTATGACGTGCAACTATCTACTGGGGCTTTGGGGGGAAAATAAATAAATAAATAAAATTAAAAAGCAGGAGTAAGATTACTATCACTCTTCTATTTAAAATTGTTCTGGAAGTCCTACCCTGCACAATAGTAAGGAAAATAAATAAGAAATAAGGGGTACAAGTAATGGGAAAGAAGAAAAAACTGTCATTAGCTGTAGGTTATTCACGTGGAAAATTCCCAAAACTTATAGACAGTACGAATACTTAGCAAGATTACTGAATGTGAGATTTTCTTTCTACCTACCTTTAACAGATAATGCATTTTTAAAAGTTGTCATTTACAAAATTTACATTATACAAAAATGTATAAAGTATCTAGAGATTAATTTAACAAAAGTTATAAAACAAAAAAAATAATAAAAATTTTATTGAAAGAGGTAAGAAAACATGTCATGTTTATAGTTAAGAAGACTCAATATTATTGCAAGATGCCAAGTCTTCTCAAAATGATCTATAGATTTAATGTAGTTTCAGTAACAATTTCAGCAGGTTTTATTTTGTAGAATTTGACAAGCTGATTCTAAAATTTATATGGAAGAACAAAAGGCAAGATTGGTCAAAAGACTCCTGAAAAATAACAACCTAGTAATCCCACTATGAGGAAATTTGTGCATATATGCACCAGACAATATGTGCTTAAATATTCCTAGCAGCCTTGTTCATAATAGCAAAGACAAAAACACAACCAAGAAACCAAAAATTAGAAATAATCCACATGTCCAACAACAGTGGAACAGATAAATAAATTGTGGTATATTCATATAATGGAATACAATATAGCAATTAAAAATCAATGAATTATAGCTACGTGCTTCAGCCTTGATGAATTTTAAAAGCATAATCTTTAGTGGAAAAAAGAATATCATAGATAAATACATGCAATATGATTTTCTCCCTATAAAGTTCCAAAAAGACAAAATTAGCAATGCATTACTTATTAAATTATATGTAATACATAATATATGATTAAAGGGTGAAGGAAAGCTATGGGATTATTAACACAAAATTTTAGATAGTGATTATTTCAGGGAGATGGGCTTGGAACGAGAAGAGGAAATGGGATTAGAGAGAGGTTTACAAGGTACTCCAAAAGTACTGGGAATATTCTGTCTGCTAAATTGGGTGGTGAGTACATGGTGATTCATCTTATTACTCAAAACAACATATGTAGACCATTAACCATAGAAGATCCTATTCATCTTCCCTCCCTTCCTCCCCAGAGAGGACCACTATCCTAATAAAATATTGTGTTTGTGTGTGTGCGTACATAAATAATACAAAATATTGCATTGAGTTTTTTTCAAATTTATATGAATGGTACTATACTCTATATGTCATCTGGAACCTGCTTGTTAACTCAGTATATGTTGTCAAGATCTATCTAGAACCATCCTTATCGTGACCATTTTAAAGATGAGGAAATTAAGATTCAGAAAGTCAAAAGCCCAGAGACCTAAGGCACAGAGAGGTTCAAGGTCACACTCTAGTGAGTAGTACAGCTGGAATTTGACCCGAGACACTACACACTACTTTCTCCCTTATAGATCTAATTAATTCATTTTAAATGCCATCAAATGAATAGACTTCTGTTTATTTTTCTGTTTCCATTTTTTTTTGATATTACAAACAACACTGCCATGAATATCTTGTGTGAGATTCCTGGTACACATATGTGAGTATCTGCATTTTTAATTTTCTTAGATCCTGTGAAATTGCTTTCCCAAGATGTTGCTCTCACAAATAGTCTATGAGAATTTTGGTTTCCTCACCTTGTTACCAGTATTTATTATTTTCAGATTCTACTGTCTGTCAATTCCTGAGGGATATGAAATGGTATTTCGTTTTAATTTGCATTTCTATGAATTTTAGTGATGCTAATATTTTGGCCATTTGGAGTTCCTCTTCTATGAGTTACCGGTTGAAATTCTTTGACCACTTTTCTGTTGGACTATTTGTCTTTTTCTTATTGATTGGTGCAAGGTGTTACACGTATTAGAGAAAAGCAATTCATACATGTTCTACATATCTTTTCTCAGTCTGTGGTTTGTCTTCTAACTTTGTGATTAGTGTCTTTTGTGACGCAAAATATTTTTTTAATTAAATGTATTCCCATGTGTCAGTCTTTCCTTTATGAGTTGTGGTTATTTTTTTCATAATAGTTATTTTTCAAGGAGAGCATAATATTTGTATTACAAACTTATGTGTGTGTGGTATTTTTTTTTTTTTGCTTTCAGATAACTACCAAGTTGTCTTCCAGACTGGCTGTAGATTTTCTTGCCAAAGTGATGATGTGGATGACGACACAGATTCCACAAAAAGCACTCAGACTAAAGTGGATATTACATGGATTCTTCTACTGCGCTACTATATTCACCTGCAAAGAATTAATAACATGAGCAAACTGCTAGGTAGGTTTTTGATGTGTTAAGAAAGAATATATTCCTTTCCAATTCTGGTTTAAGTCATGTTTCTTATTTAGAATTATAAAATACTTTTGACATCTTTCTGAGTGAGCTCTTACCAGAAGATGAAAATTTTAGGGGTTCTTAACCTGAGATACATGGATCTTTGGATAGAATAGTATTTCAATGTAATTGATTTCCTTTGACATTTCATATATTTTATTTCATGTATTTAAAAACATTATTATGAAGAGGCATCCAGAGGCTTCCCAAGACTGCCAAAGTTCACGGCTCAAAACAGTTAAGAATCAGAGTGATCACAATGTGACAGCTTATAAAATGAACAAAATGAAATTTTGGCTTTAAGGAGGGAGTGTTCCAGTATCCAGTATGAAATAGAAGAAATGCGTGACTTCAGAAAGGATATCTAACTCCATGGAGTTGGGTTTTTTTTTTTTAATCATTGATGCTGTCTAAAGGATATCCAAAAAAACTATATAATCTGCTTCACATCAGTCCCTCTTGTGATTTTGTAGTGATGTATATTATTGTGTTTAATCTGTGTCCGTGGAATTGGTGACCCAGTGTTCTCAGTGCAAACAGTCGGAAAAGACAGTTTGACCCATGTCAGGGCCAGTGATGGAGAAGCCAGCAGGGCAAATAGGCTGAGCCACAGAGTGGCTATGCACAGTTATTGGGAGCTAGCAGTGGGACAGACAAGCACTCAGAAAGGTCAGGGGTGACAGGGTCATCGTGATGAGGGCAAGAACAAGGGAAGTTAAGTGGGGAAGAAAATGGACATGAGCTGGTGCAGCAGACGTGGGTGATGCCCTGCCCCATGTCAGCTCAGCTCACCTTGGAATTCACCTGCCAGCACTTCCCATGTCAAGCACTCACGTTTTACTGCTTTCCTGCTCTGGGCTTTCTCTGAAGCTCCTGAGGCTTATCCAGCCAGCAGGCAAGACAGCCTAGAAGTGCCAGGGATTCACGCATCCAGGAGAACCTTCAACTAAGGACGTAGGTAACTGATAGATAAGCATTTCAGCTTCCACAGTCCCTCAATGGGACAATTCTATATCTTTTTTTCAGCAAGTCCCCTGCAGGACTGAGCCCTCATTGTCCATAGCTGTAGCCATTCATTCACTCACTCTCACTGGCTCTTTTCTTTTCTCTATCACACTTTACCTTTCTCTCACTTGTGCTCCTTGGATCACTTTTCAAATAAATTACCTGCACCTAAATTTTGTCTTTAAGATCCATTTTGGGAAGATCCCTAAATAGTAGAGAGAATATTTTGCATTGTTAAGCTTGGAACTTGAAGCAATATCGTCACATGCTTCTAAGATTGTCTTTCCTTCCTGCAGCAAGAAGCAATTCCATTAGTGTATAAGCTATAAAATGGAAGAATATCATGGGCAGCCACTACTGAGGGGGGGATATACAAGGATAGTGGTTAGTGAGCAAATATCGACAATATTGAGACTGTTCTGTTGTCTAACATGACTCTAAATTAAGATATTTTTCTTCCTTAAGCATCTCCAAAGCCAGGATCTGGAATTTCTTTGCCAGATGATACACTTCTCACATCTCTTTTCAACTCTGGGTTGATTTTGCGCCAAAAAGAAATGCATTTTTTCCTTAAAAGATTCTTACATCTATATTCTTCCTCTTGTATTGATGAATTTCCGAAAGAACTATTCCAAGGATCGGAAAATCTAGCTTTTTCAGAAAAAGTCTTATGTGACTCATCAGCCAAGGTAATGTTTAAAAACATTATATATTTTTGTAAAACTTCTTAGAATCATCCTTCTATTTCTGAAGAAAGCACATTAACCTCAATGCTGGCACAAAGATTTCTTGTTCCCTCAGTGTTCCTAGGAAGGCTCATTTCTGTTTTACTGTGTAGAGAAGCCAACTAAACCTCCTAGATTTTAGGAAAGTTCACATTTCAAATGTTCTGTTTTGCTGCTCTCATAAATCTTCAAAATGTGTCAGAATTTTCTATATCCCATACATAACAACATCTCTCAGGCAGCCATTTTGCCAAGAATTTACACAAATTTCAATATAATTACCATATAAGAAAACTAGGCTGAGAGCTTCTCAATCTATGCCTGATTTCTGTACCTTTGTTTTAAAGGTGTAATAAAAATCATTCATTGTGTATATTTTTTGCAATTATGAGTATGAATAAATACTAAGAGTAAAATTTTTAAATAAATTAAAAGTTTGAATTTTTTTTTTGGAAAGTGTTGTTAAATTGGGTAGACTTTCCCAAAATATGTAATATGGAAACTTCTTTTAAGTTACCCACTAAAGAGACATAAAAAGAGGAGAATGAATGCAGTTTTTTTTTTAAAGCTACTAGAGTCTTGAGTAATAGTAATGTTTCAATAAACTACCAAAATTGATGAATTGGAAGTTACTGAAAAAATAAAGAGTTTTATTAAAAATAGGAATGTATATTTGAAATTTGGTACATTCAACAAACATATATTGAAAACTAACAATATGCCAGACACTCTTAGTTGATGGAGAAAAAGTAGATGGATAAGGCATAGTCCCTGTACATAGTTTTGATGTGGTAGTAGAGAAACATTGGTAGAGTTAGAGCAAAAGAAAATTACAGTACTTCAGGGATGTTTTTTCAGAGAAAATGGAAGGGTTAATAGCAAAAAAGAATGTGAAAATTAAAATATATTAGTTATATTGTCAATAGTGTGTAGGGCTGATTGACAAAGGATAGATGAAAGGAAGTTATCCCAGAGCTTGATGATGAAGTAATGAAGCTTATGACCATAGGAAGGGGAAGGAAGAGATGGATGTAAAAGATGTTGCTTAAGTAAAATTGAAAACAAAACAAAACAACTTAGCGACCCTTTGGAGATGGAAAGTGAAGAAGAGGAAATGATCGAAGTCTATTCCACCTCTCGGAACCTCTGTGATCATTAGAGCATGGAAACACCTTTAGCAGATACAGTGGAGGCAGGAGGAGGAGAAGGTTTGTGGAGAAGGCTGGTATATTCTGCTCTGTAGCTACAGAGATTCTAGTAGAAAACTCAAGTGGACATGGTATATTTAGGTTTCCAATATGTATTTGTGAAATGAATAAATCAAGTCATTTGCATAAGATTCTTTCAAAACTAGAAAAAAAATCACTCATTTATTTTGAATTATCTTGACTTTGGACTTCACCATATAGCCCTTTAATTTTTGCAGTTATAGACTTGCTCATACTAGACATGACCATGTTTCTGTCATCAGCTATCCCGGAGAAGTGACCTGAAAATGTGGCTTGTTCTAAATTGGGAACCTTTGCTCATCTTACCCTACTAGAATATAGCAACCTTATGTTTTGGGTAGATAATAATAATTTTTTTTTAAAAAATCACTCTTGAATGAAAGAGTGGGGTGACTGTTAATAAATTGTGATTTTCAAAAGTAGTGGAAAGACCCACTAAGGAATATTTAAGGAATCAGTTAAAGAAGTGATTCTCAGTTAGGGTCATGGAGTTGCCCCCAGGACAGTGTGTTGAAATCCACATGGGAGGATTTTTCAAATTACTTCCCAGATACTGGGGTTATTGGGCTGCCCAATACTGAGAACTCCCATTTCCTGCCCGGATTCTAAATCATTTGAGAAATAAAAGACAGATTGGGTTTAAAAATACCCACCTTTATGAGTCATGAAGTTGATATTGTAGGATATGGTTTATATTTACTAGTAAATGATCTTCCTAGTAGTGAATAGCAAAGTAGACAGATTTTACCAATTCAGCCATGTATTTTTTTTTTTTTTGGTCATTACAGGCCTCCTTAAAATCTGTGGGGCACAGGCCCCTTTAAAAATCTGTCACACGCAGGAGCAGAGAATGTTCACTCCCTGCAAACAGTTCCAAGAAAGAGCAGAGCTATGCGTATCCAAAATTCTTTCTCTCAAATTCACCAATCGGGTAACTCTCTCCCAGGGAGAGGCGTGAGAGGAGGTGGAAAGGGCAAGAGTGTAGCGTGAGTGTCTGGCCCTCCACAGGGAAGGAAACAGTAGGGGTGGGATGAAATTGGTTCCATCTAACACCAGATTCTGATTCACCCCTCCTGGGAACTGAGACTACCTTTGAGGATTGCTGCCGTGTGTCCCAGATGCCTCAGCTGTTTTGTGGTAGGGGACAGAGACTGGGAAGGCTGAGGACTATAGTTTTAATGGATATATTCTTGTGAATATTTTATAAGAGTTTGGAAACTCTTGTCTATGTGTGACTTCTTAAATACTGTTCTGCAGGGAGCTCTGCTTGAGTAGTTTAGTATTAAGGGCAGTTTGTTATTAGCCAGTTCTTAAGGATGATGCTCCAAACGTAGAAGGTTGGAAACATTGTAACTACATGTGACATTTCTGATGAAAGCAGTGTTATCAAAGAGTTGTTTCACCCTCTTTGCTCTTTTTTTGATATAATTAGTGTAACATTCTCCCAGGATAATCAGCTCAGGAGATCACTGTCACCTGCCTGACAGGTGCAAGCCACCTAATCATGTGTTTGTTTCACTGGGGTAGACATCTAATGAGTATAAAGCCTTTTGGATTTTTAAAAAAATAAACTCTAAGCTTGGCTGATTTTTATAATAACATTTTTGAGCCTTTAATCACTCAGGAGGCTATTTCAATCAAACTCTTTCCACAGTTTGATACTTAAACCTGCTTTTCCTCCACAAAGAAGTAGATGCCTTTCCAGAACGAACATTGCTATGTGTTGTGCTCATCAGCTGTGTGAGTCTGCATGTTGTCAGGTCTATTGAAGTTTTGCGATGGAAAAACAAAGGTGCCAAACAAATTACCAAACAAATAAAAATTCTTGAAAAAGGATATGAGTGAAATAGTGCACAAGACTGAGTTATTCATGTTTAGACTGTGCGCCTGTGATGATCTGCATAAGGTCCGATATTTGACTAGTGCAAAGTGACTTGTTAATGGGAGTGTGGCGAACAAGAGTTCTCCTGGTAGATCTGTTGTTTCATTCTTTTCAAAGAATAAATCAAACATATCAGAAGTACTCAGTATATAGTCCATCAATCAGCATATATAATTAATCCCATTAGCAACTAGATATGATGCTGTTTTAAAGATAATGGAAATTAAATGCTTATTTTGATATTGACTTCTGGTACAATTTACGTTATTAGACCATCATGCTAATAAACACTGTATATATTGAAATAAAAGATATTTGCTTTTTATTTTTCTCCACTTAGCTAGGTATTAAATGTTAATTCTTTGCTAAAATAGTTGTGGAACTTCTGAAAGGCACAGATATGAAAAAAATATGAGAAATTACTTTTTGAATCAATCATTTACCTTATTTTTTTGTGAACTGCCTGACAGAATTAATCTTAATTAAGCACTTTTAAATGCTTATTTAACCCTAATAATCTTGCTTATTATGAATTTTGCTCCTGCTTTTACTATCATAGTGCTAATAAATGAAGATTCTGGCTTATGATATCCCTTTATGATAGTCTCTAGACATTTTTGAAAAGTTTTCACCTTTAATATTACCTTTCAGTCAAAACATATTTTTTCTTTTATCAGTAGACAACTTGAAAGGTCAGTGTCTTTATTTCTTTTTATTTCATTTTGAAGACTTGCATTGACAGTCTTACATTATATCTTGAATAGGCTCAGAAATAATGAGAGAAACAAAGACTTAGAGAAACACCAGGCATTTCTTTCTGGCCACTGACATATTCCCTTTGGTCACCAAACATTGAGATACTTTTTTTTTTTTTTTTTTTTTGTGAGGAGGTCAGCCCTGTGCTAACATCTGCCAATCCTCCTCTTTTTTTGCTGAGGAAGATGGCCCTGGGCTAACATCTGTGCCCATCTTCCTCCACTTTATATGGGACGCCGCCACAGCATGGCTTGCCAAGCAGCGCGTCGGTGCGCGCCCGGGATCCGAACCAGCGAACCCCGGGCCGCTGCAGCGGAGCGCGCGCACCCAACCGCTTGCGCCACCGGGCCAGCCCCAACGTTGAGATACTTTTGATGTCAAGAGCTTAATAGAAGACCTGCTTCCCAGCTACCATGCTGTAATCTGGGAATAACAAAGAGTTAATTTTGAAAATAGTTTGCATTCCAAAGAAAGAAGAAGGTCCTTTTTAGACTTGAGATATTATTATTACTATTATTATCTCTCTGAGCAGACTGTTATTTTGTTGATAGGACTCATGCTTTGCTTTCTCAGCTACCTTAAAAAATTACGTAAATAATTTATGAAATTGCCAATTGCATTCTACACATTTATGTTTCTTGACAACTCCTGATTCAGGGACCAAGTTCCATCAAAGAAGCTAGGCCCAGATTCACCAAGACTAAACTTACATTTATTTAAGCCACATTCATTTAAAGAATGAATGAGAGCAATGAATTTTAATCTTTTAGAGCAAAAACAGTGGCTTATTTTGCATATGGCACTGCAAAAAAAATGCCATTGGAAAATAGATAATAAATTATAACCACACCCTCAGTATATTCACCAGGGAATAAACCAGGAAAAATTAGAAGATGTTCTTAGAATTCGTGATGATCTTGAGACTGAAATGACAGCACGGACATTTTCCCCTCGATATCGTTACTCTGGGAGACACACCAAAGTGGAAAACATTTGTTGTGTCCACTGGGTTTTAAAGCATACTTTATTTTTCTGTAGGAGAATCTTCTCTGTGGTAAGCAGGGACAGTTTTAAGATCTACATCCATAAAATAAGCTGAGGCAATTCCCAGAGTTTTCTAATATAGCCATATTGAATGAATGTTTTAAATATTGAATGAACTCATTACCAACAATTAAACTGATGTTTTTGTTTATTCCCTAGCTATGTCGTGACAGTTCTGTACACTCCAGTTTATCAATAAAGCTCCTTGCCAGCCCATCCTGTGGAGACGTGATGTCTTCAGATATGGCAATACAAACTTTAAACAAAGAACTTTGCTTTCAGTGGTACATTCCTCCCCTGGAAAGACCTCCAAAGGAAACAGAACCTATGGTATGTAATACAATTACAAAGCTAAATCTTACATTCAGATGTAAAGTTTAACTAGGCCATTATAACTTGACGAGAAAAGAACATCCTCTTATCGTACAGACAAAAATATACAGCAATATAGAATCTATATTGACTGATAGAATGAATCTGAAAATAAGAAATCCTGAGGAAGTCTGAGTCAAGTGGATCATTTTCCTTTTTCCTGATCGTAAAGGGAAGCTTTCTAATGTGTCACCATTATATAAGATATTTAACTTTTTTTTTGTATTCTTTATCACATTAAGGAAGTTTTTTTCTACTGCCACTTTGCTAAGAATTTTTATCATGAATCTTTTACCGTATATATAAAGATGATTTTATCGTTTTTCTCTTTTAATATGTTAATTGATTTTGTAATATTGAATCGACCTTCTCTTCCTGAGATAAACTCAAGTTGGTCACGATGTGTTAATTTTACTAGATTTAGTTTGCTAAGCTTTTGTATTGGATTTTTGACACTGTTTTCGAGTAATATTAGGCTATAAATTTTCCTTTTCATGCTATCCTTGTCAGATATTTTTTGTGTCAAGCTTTTGCTAGACTCATAAAATGAGTTGATAAATATAATCATGTTTTTCTATTCTCTGGTGAAGTTTGTGTAAGTTTGGAGTAACCTTTTTTCCTCAAGTATTTGCTGAGAGCTCATCGGTAAAGCCATCTAGTCCTAGTGTTTGCTTTGTGAGAAAATATAAGACTAGTGATATAATACTCAAGTTAGAGGCAGTCTTTAAGTATTAGTACTAATGTATTGGTCATCAGAGTTGGTGTCAGTTCTGATTGGGCTAATATCTGTTCTAATGGTTAACGCCTGTGCCAAATCAAGTTTTAGGTATTTTGACTATCACTCCTATTTATAGAACATTGGGGTTTTCTATTTCTTCTTGAGTCAGTTTTGTGTAAGCTACTTTTTCTAGGAATTTTCCCATTTCATTTAAAATTTCTCTCGTATTTTTAATCTATCTGATGTATTTGTATTGAAGTGCCCTTTTTTGTTTTTTATATTGGTTATTTGTCACCAAAGGTTTCTCATTAGTGAGTTTTATTTCATTAATCCATATATCTTTCACTGTTTTTTTAAAGATGTTCTTTTCCTAACTACTGATTTTTTGAGATGGATGTTTAGCTCAATATTCAGTCCTTTCTTTCCTAATGTATACATTTTAAGGCTATGAATTTCTCTCTAAACATTGCTTTGGCTTCATCCCACAAGTTTTTATTATAGCATTGTCATCAACATTCTGTTAAAAATAGTTTTTTAATTTCTATTATGATTTCTTTGACTCATGGGCCATTTCAGCATGTGTTTCTTAAATTCCAAACTCTGTGGAGCTTTTCTAGTTATCTTTTGTTATTTATTCCTAGATTATGTTGTTCTGTGGTAATAAAAAATGCTCTGTATGAGGGGCCGGCCCGGTGGCACAAGCGGTTAAGTGCACGTACTCCGCTGCGGCAGCCCAGGGTTTGCCGGTTCGGAACCCCGGGCGCGCACCGATGCACCACTTGTTAAGCCATGCTGTGGCGGCATCCCATATAAAATAGAGGAAGATGGGCATGGATGTTAGCCCAGGGCCAGTCTTTCTCAGCAACAAAGAGGAGGATTGGCATCAGATGTTAGCTCAGGGCTGGTCTTCCTCACACACACAAAAAAAATGTTCTGTATGATTGATATTTGTTGAAACTTACTTTTTTCTCCAGGAAAGTTTTTATTGTGTAAATATTCCATTGCTCTTAAAAAGAATGTGTACTCCTCAACTGTTGAGGCAGTGTTCTTATATGTCTAATAGGTCAGTTTGGTTAGTCTTATTGAAATCTTTTATATTCATGCTGATTTTTCTATTTTTGTTTGCCTTTTTATTTTTTTAAATCAGTCACTAAAAGAAGTGTGTTTAAATCTCTCAAAGTATTGTCATTGTTTAGTTTTTCCTTGTAGGTCTGTCAAATTTTGTTTTACATAATTTGAGGCTGTGTTCTTAGGTGCAATTAGATTGATAACTATTGTATCTTCTTGATGAATTGGGCATTTTGTCATTTTGAAGGACTAATGGCCTTTCTGTAATACTGCTTTTTTCCTCATAAAGTCTGCTTTGTTTGATATTACTAATGCTTTTTCAATGCTTTTGTGTACTTGTGTTTTAACTGTGTTTTTTAATAAAAGGCATGCACTTGGATCTTTTTAAATATGGTGATGATATTATATTTTGATGGAGAATTTAATACATTTATATTTAATGTAACTGCTAATATATTTGGTTTTAAATCTACCATGTTATTTTGTGTTTCTACTTGTCTCAGCTTTTCTGTTTTTCTCTTGTTTCTTCCTTTCTTTCAGATTATTTTTATCATTCATTTTTACTCTATGAGTTTTTAAATTATGCACTCTTTTTCTGTGCTTTTGGTGGTTACCCCCAGGACAAAATACATAACTTAGCAAAGTCTAAAGTTAATGAATATCTTTATTCCTCTAATGACTTATATGATATAACGGTACATTTTCTGTTTGAATCCAAAATGTTATTTTTTAATTGTCTTATACAAAAGTTATTTTTCCTTCAGAATTTTCTATATATTCAGCATTTGCTTTGTTTTTTACTCTCTCTTGTGTTTTAAACATTCCATCTAGGATGACTTGTTTCTGTTGAAGTACATACTTTGGAATTTCCTTTGGTGAGGATCTTCTGGAAGCAAACACTCTCATTTTTTTTTTTGCCTCAGAAATGTCATTGGTTTACATTTACTTGTGAAATAAATTTTTATACAGTAGAGAATTCAAGATTGGAAATTATTTTATTTCAGTACATTGAAAATGTCATTTACTTATTTCCATTGTGCTGTTGAGGGTGAAACTGTTGCTGCTTTAAAAGTATTCTGACTTCTTTCACTAGCTGCTTTTGAGGTTTTCTCTTTGTCTTTGCACAATTTTACTTGGAATGGTTCTCTTTATATTTATTTTGCTTACATTAGTGTAGTGGTTAAGAGCATAGACTCTGGAGCCAAACTGCCTGGGTTTGAATCCCAGCTTTGTCATTTAATAATCTTGTCATCTTCAGTGGATCAGATAACTTTTCTATATCATGATTACCTTCATCTGTAATTAGAGATAATTATGTAAACTCCTAACCTCGATAAATAGTAGTTGTCATTTATTATCTGAAATTATTTTAAAATTATTATGCTGTCTTAAAGTTTAATAACTTCAATATACATGTAATGCACTTGGTGAATGTCATTTAAAAACACCTTTTAAAGTTTAGCAACAATATCTCCTTATAGATATTTAGCTGCCAGCATTGTGCAGGAAAGAGAATAAACTGTGCCTAACCAGCCAAATTAAAGTGCCCAGCAAACAGCAGAAAAAACTTAGTTTGCCTCTAAATGCTGTTTACTAATTTGTATCACACATATAACTCCTTATTTTAATATTTATCTTTATCCAACTCAATCTTTACATTTATCCATATTTATGTCCATATGCATGGATAGACATTTACAATAAGGCTAATTGGGAGGCAGATGGAGAAGGGGGCAAGTATTTAGGTGCAATTCAATATCAATCCCTGAACCCTTGGAGATAGAACAGTGATTCAGATTCTAGGAGAGTCTTGAAGAGGAGTCAAGCTTTTAAAAATGGAACAGTTGGTCACTACAGCCTTTTACAGAGGAAACTTCTATTATAGAATTCCTTTGATGGCTGCTCTCCCTAAGAAGAGCCTCAGGCTTTTTTCCATAAAATGTTTGCCTTATAGTTTTGCCCTGTTCAGCATTTTTATTTGCTTTTTGTTTTCTGCATTGGTCTACTCCTGCACTTCCCAGCTCTTGAGTTCTGTCCCCTCTAGCTATGCCTCTGGTAGCTTCTGCTGCTTTTTGGCTCACGTGCCCCATGTCAGATGTGAAACCTCCAGAGGCTGCCTCTCTTTGCTCTGGAGCATGCTTCTCCCATTGGCCCCTTCATTCTGCTTCCTTAGGCTGGTGCTTTGCTGCTAACTCTTTGTCAATTAAATATCTCTTCCTATTCATACAAAAAGAGGAACTTTAACATATTACTTCTGAGAAAAATTTGAAGCTATTTCTCACATTTTGCAAGTACTTTCCTTCCCACCCTTTCCAAGTCAAATCCTTGCCAGATATTCCATATACATTTTAAGATCATAAATCTGTAGTCTCTTTTGGGGAATTTAGTGCAGTAGTTTTCCAACTGTGGTTCCAAGAATGCTCGTGGGTCACGACATGAATACAGTAGATCATAAGTAGTATTTTTTTTTAAGAAATTAAATACAGGGGAAAAATCAGAATGCATCATACACAGTAAGTGAAAATATTGTTTTATGAAACTTTTGTTTCATGATATTGTTAAAAAAGTAAATTTCTTAGATAGCTTGATCTTCAGCATATGTCAGAATTTATTGATTTGCTGGCAAGAGAGCCAACAATGTGATAAAAGAGTATATCCATTCAGAGAGGGTATGGAAACAGAAGGATTACAGAGTTGGGAAACAGAATGTTTACCTAAGCAGCTAGTTTTTTAAAAATGAGGAAGAAAGTATAAGGTATAAAGTTCATTTCATAAGGTCATAGAAATACCACATTCATATCATTCTGGGGCAGGATGATCTGAGACGTTAATGCTGAGAGTACATCTGTGGCTGATAATTAGAATAACAAGGTTTCATCCATCAACCATTGCATCTGACAATTAACATGGAAGCATGAATTGGTGTCAGACAGAGATTAGAAGCAGAACACCAACTAACAAATTCTGATTTAAACAGCTTCCTTAGTGATTTTCTTAAGCCACAAGCAAAGACACAGAGCACACAGTTTTTCCATTTCTTAGTTTGGGGACATTTTTTTCCCCTTTGATAGTAAGTATGCGTGTATTGTATACATATGTAGTTGTTGTCATAAATTTCAGTTAAAAAATCAGGAAACGCTGACTTGGACAGGCTAGATCTCCTTAGACCTAA